GCAAAGACCACCTTAGTTTTGCCTTTCCCAATGAACCCAATGAAGCCGAATTGGCAAAATTTTGACAGTCTCCAAGTTCTTGCAAAAGTTTCAGGGAAATAAAAAAAATCCTTTGATTGTGGAAGGATTGTTGGTGCCAGATATAGTGGTTGCTACATCTCTTAAAGCCCACTACGATTTTAACGTACTATTCTCCCTCGTGTATATATAGACATATAAAAAGAAAAAGCCAAAGACAGCCAGAATGTAAGTTCATCAGGTGAAAACTTATATTAGTGAGAGATCAGTGGAGAATGGACTGACTTTTTCAAGCTGACACAATGTCAGCTGAGGTGTACAGAAAGGGGTCTCTGAATGCACATGACAAAATATCTTAAGCAGGACAAACAACAGCATCCAATTCCCACTTGTGATTCTACTCTGGCTAGCCAACAAATGGAACCTTTAGTAGTGTAGCAGAAACCCCACTCAGGTCTCGGAGAACTTTTTCAAGTTCTATTCCCTATTAGGTACATGGCAGCCAAGCACACAACAGTGCCACAGTCTCTTGACACAATAACCAGACTGAGAGTGTCTTCTTTTGAAGTTTAATGCTGGTTAAACTTGGTTGGGGTGTATGACGGACTGCCTGTCACCCTGATTGGATGATTTTGTCAGAGAACTGCTTCCTCACCACTGGAAGACAGGACCAAGGTATTATAGCTGGGCATCACAGCCAATACTAGGCGACATCAGCTTAGGTGCAAAAACTGGCACTACTTTATTGAACAGAAATACAGGTTTTTATAATCTTCAAAAATAGGGGCAGTCCCCACATGAGCAATGAAAACAATTATTACACATTCAGATAAAAATCCCACACGGATTAGATAAGAGCTTGATCACATTATCCTAAACAGTGCAAATGGTAAACAGTACAGACAGCTAACGGTGATCTAAATAACAGCATGCTAATGAACAGCTAAGCACCCAGACAAACCAGGGAGCCCACCCCAGACATTCCAGCACCTCCAACCCTGAATACACAAATTACATTACATATTCTATCTTTCAGGTGTTTGCTTTCGCTTGGAATATTGTATGTGTTTTCCTTATTAAGGACAGATTATATAACAGTCTGATAAAGTGGAATACATTCATATTTATAGATTTCGTGAGGGACATTGTTGATATATAAATATTACTGTCCCAAGTTGAGGAGCTTCTCCAACCCAGTCTGCAAGAGGGCCCCATATTTTTTTCTGACCATTAACCTGTACAAGGTTAATATTACACCTTTCCATCCACTCCAGAAGGGAAGCTGTAGCGTCTATATTCATAGAACTAATCCAATCCTCTCTCTCAGCATTCATCACGTTGTTGTCCATCGTTAGAGAATGATCTGCTCTCTCCATGGGCCAAATTCAATGGGTAGAAGACTAGGCCCTAGTCCCCTCCTAGTCCCCTCCAAAAGCCCCTGTACTAGCTGTGTCGGTGATAGGTGAGCCTTGGGATACTCCAGAGTTAATGCAAAGTGTAAGAAAGGACACTCCCTGGTTATAACTAGACTCTTCAGGGTGGACTCCCTTATGACCAGTAGTAAATCGATATACAGCTCAGGGGATTACAATTATAGAAGCAGTCCCTGTGTACATGGATGCCTCCTTCCACTACTAGGCAGATCCTGTACTGTGAGCCTCCATTCTGGTTCCTCAGTGGACTTCCTACAAACTGAATGTAATAGCTTTAGAGATAGGCTCCCAGTTCTCCTTGAGCTGGGACCTCAAACTCCTTTGAGAGAACAGGCCCCCCAGCTCTCCTTGAGCTGGGACATCATTGCTCTCCTACAGACATCAGCTAAACAACCCAGAAGGGCAGCAGCCCTCCAGGTTTGGCCTTCTCCTCCAGGACAAGGACTCTCCTGTTCCAGGCCCCAGTCTATTTTTACACACCTCAGCCCCCTACCGGTCATTCTTAACTCTAGGTATTGGCTGAGCCCAGGGGTGGACTGACAACTCATGGGGCCCCCGGGCAATAGGGGATCATGGGGCCCCTGTGTCCTTGCCCAAACTCAAAAAAGCCTATGAAAAAGGTACCAGGGGCATCTCATGGGGCCCCCTACTGACCCCGGGCCCTCGGGCAGTGCCCGTGTTTCCAAATGGTTAGTCCGCCCCTGGCTGAGCCTGTATCAATATGCAGGTCCAGAGTCTGCCCCTTTCAGCTCACTACATTCTAGAACCCACTAGAAGGCAGGTGAAAGCAGTTGAGTCTGCAACCACCAGGACCCAGAACAGCCAAAAGTAATCAAACTGGTTACATTGGAAAAAAAACCCAAACATTGGGAAAAAAAAAAAAAAAATAAATTTACATAGGAAGAAAATAAATAATTCTAACAACCTACCTAGGAGGATGATACAGTAGACTCATCAAAACTTCTCCATATTTTTATTCTGTTTGTAAATACCATGCTTCCCTTCTGTGTTGTAGCATGGTTTACTTCATTGAGCATGTGCACACTTGACAGCTACAGAAACAGATTTAGCAAGTCATATAAAATCTGAAAATGTATAAATAGGTAATGGAGGGATATCCTGTGATACATTATATGAGGTAATGGGATCCTTGCGAAAAACTTGCCTCTTGCAGTAAAATTATTGTGGAAAGGTTTTCGAAAGCTGAGCATAAAAGTGGAGATTTCCCTTAGGGCCAAGACTAAGTCAGATCTTTCATCAGATGGAAAGAAAGGCCATCTGTTTTTTTTTCTCCCAACCATGGTCAGGGCCACAAAATTCAAACCCACCTGGAGTAATTTTTCTACCTGTTATATTGAACAAAATCTGATTTTTAAGCATGCCTGAAAATCTCTATGACCGATGCCAAGGACAAGTATTGTAAATGAGCACTCGTTATCTAGGCACGTACGGGATGTAAATACAAGTTAGTGATGTTCAGATGGTTTGTAGCACTAGGGAAAATCACATAGTGAGCAGATGGCCTAAACAAAACCCAATGTATCATGTCATTTATTTCTTTACCATTATTTTTAGGGAAATTATTATTTTTGCTGTTGGTGATGAAACTGAAACAGTTGCTGTTGCTGACCACAACTTGTTAATCTATAAAGGAATCCTAAGCCAAAAAAGTTGGCATTTTTTTTCCAAAAATGTTTTGGAAACTCAGCTGTTATGTCTTATCATCACCCTTAAAAGGATTATTGTACCCAAAATGGATATTCTAGTTGATGGAGGGGATGCAGTGGTGCGATTTAAAGAAACTGTGAAAGAGCTGCACCTAAAGCAACTTTTTGTAGTTGTCCCTTAACTGTACATACATATTTAAAAATATTAGTTGAAAGTAGACATTTTGCATAGAGTACGTGAGGCCTATAACCCCTGCTTCCAAGCTTGGCATGATTGTTTAAATTGATTGGAAACATGATCAGAAAATTAAAACAGAGGGATCATCAGGTGTTTATGTTCATAGGTATAAATGGAGACACAACAGGCTACTAATGTTTTGTGACACCAACATACCCTATTAGACACATTTGAGCTATAATAATTTTAGGGGTAACATACATTTTAACAACCAGCTACTTATACCTTTATTGATTCCAGAGTCTTAATATCCTCTCAGTTGCTCATCTTTTTCAATATCCGTGTGAACGTGGCCAACCTACTGTATATCTTTCTAAAGTGTTATAAAGTTTATTTATAACCAATTTGTTTTTTTTTTACCATTGAGAGTGATGAAGGATTAGAAACTCAGATTTTATTGCAGTGTAGTTTTAATGCCTCATGGGACTCACCATCTGTGGTGAAGAGGAATCCTTGTTGTAAAGCAAAAATCCACAGTGAATGAATCTTTAAGTTTCAACAAGTTGTTTCCTTTGTGTTAGGACACAGGTATGAACCTGCAACCTCTGCTATGTTTGGTAGTGTCTCTTCTTGCTCAGACACCTGAGATGCTGGATCTCTTGAGACAACCTTGCCTTGTTTCTTGTTTGTCTTGAACTTTGAACCCATTGCTCTTCCCATGAACTTCCTATTTTAGTCATGCCGTTGCACTTCCCCATTGCCAGATTATTGCACGCTCTCCAGCAAATACCTTGCATTTGTCCCTCTTGCTGCTGTCCATATCTTCACCACCACTTGTTACTGACCCTTGGCTTGTTTCTTGACTGTTTCTTGACTATGCTTCTGCTTGATCCCAACCTGCAACTACTTGTTACCGACCTTTGGCTTTTTAACTGACTATGCTTCTGTGTGATCCCTACCTGCTATATCTGCTAGTGGACCCCAGCTTACTTACTTCCTGGTGGGGAGATCCTGAGGACTGCAATCTCGTACTAACAAGCAGCAAAACCCATCTCCACCATGAGGAGCTTTAGTGAATACCGGTTGGTGCTTAGTTCCCAAGCCTTGGGTGAGTCTGTGTCATCTGCCAGGCTGACCTGCCAGTATACTCTTCCTGTTGGTGTCTCTACTGCTATAGCTACTGGTCTACAAGTCTGACCCCTGACCGTGACACTTTGAGGCATCTACTGTACGTATGTAGACTGGTTACATACAGTACCTACAAATAAAAACTGTTAGATGTGGAACAAATTGCCTTCTATGATCTTTATAACACAATATGGTGGATGCACCCTGGACACTGGATAACCTTGTCCTGTCCCTGTTTTAGCACAATTAAAATATCTAGACGTTATCTACAGTATAACATGGCAAATCTTCACTTTTTGATCTCAGGTCCACTTTTTTTTTAGGTTTACTGTAGCACCAGTGCTTTCTGCCCCCCTATAAAGCGATCCGTAGTGGACTATTTTTTAGAGGTGTTTGACAGGCAATAAGGAGATGATATTTCTCTTCTTCACTGCTATTTTTAAATTTGTAAATGCAGCACCACCACTCTGCAACTGCATGCATTACACATGGTTAAAGGGGTGGTAGTGGCGTGACTCCATTCCCTTGAAAGAGCTGTATTCAGTGGTGCTGCCCACTGAATGCAACACATGGAATAATTTTGGTTCCTGGCCAGGGGCAGACTGACCATTTGGAAACTCGGCCACTGCCCGAGGGCCCGGGGTCAGTAAGGGGCCCCATGAGATTCCCTGGTACCTTTTTCATAGGCTTTTTTGAGTTTGGGCAAGGACACAGGGGCCCCATGATCCCCTATTGCCCGGGGGCCCCATGAGTTGTCAGTCTGCCCCTGTTTCTGGCTATGGCATGTATACTCCCCTAGTTGGCTGCCTTTGCAGCTTAAATGACAGTTGTAAGGCAGTAACTAAAGTATGACTGTCTTTACTGAACCCCCCCCCCCAATCACTAGTGCCCTAAGTTCAACATGCTGAGTGAGATGAGATCAGAGTCATATTATAGACCAAGGTCATCCTTTCCCACCGGTTATCACACAGGTAATGTTTTCATACAGAGCTGGGAGAGCAACGTAGATAACGTTATTAGAATTACATTTTGTTCTTGCCAAGTCCTCTTTAAGGAGAAATCCAATCCTATCTCCTGTAAGGTGACCAAAAGCCTCAGTCACCAGCCTTTCACTATTCATAAAGTATCAATCTTTGATACATTAATTAGATCAGAAATCCAGAAAAGGACTAATCATACCGCTAATGTCTAATGCGCCCTTCCCCCAATCGATCTGTCATGTTAGCTGTTGAATATATGTATGCTTAAATATGCAGAAATTCAGCAGATCTTCCTGAGCCTGGATGCTTTCACCTATCCCCAGACATCATTAGATCCTTCCACTTGACTAATGAATCTGTGTCAGTCGAGAAGCTCTAATGCCAATTTTGGATGGGAACAGCTGCCATTCCTTATCTATATCTCCCCAGTTATTGAGATGTACTGTACATTGCAGGGAACACTGCGGTGCGTTTAGACTGGATCTTCTTAGCCTAGAAATTAAATTACCTAGCCTTAAAGGGTCTATGGTTTTAATATCATAAATGTTCATTTATATTTTTTTACAATATTGCAGTTATGCCTTATGTATCTAGAATAGCCATTTAGGAATTCTTCATAGAATTTGTGCTTTTCAGTGCTATTTGTTGCACACAGCTGCAGATTTAAACTGGAGCCGCAGCTAAATATACAAAGGTGAATTGTTTTGCCTCCTAAAACACTCAGGCTTCATTCACACTTGTGTGTGAGACCATCTAGCAGGGGCGGACTGACCATTTGGAAACTGGGGCACTGCCCGAGGGCTTGGGGCCAGTAGGGGCCCCATGAGATGCCCCTGGTACCTTTTTCATGGGCTTTTTTGACTTTGGGCAAGGACACAGGGGCCCCATGATCCCCTATTGCCGGGGGGCCCCATGAGTTGTCAGTCTGCCCCTGCCATCTAGCATTTTTTGCAGGAAACCCGGCAGGGTTTCCTGCACACAGCTGTGGGTGGGAAGCCCCATTCACAGCAATGGGAGGCTAACAGTGCCTGCAGTCATTTGCATGAGGTTGAACATGCAACTATTGCCTGCAGATGATCGGCCCTGAACACATACTGTCTGCATCCAGGGTCGACCATCCGCAGGCAATCGATACTTGTGAACAACTGTCTCCCATTGCTTTGAATGTGAATTCCCACAGCTGTTTGCAGAAATCCCTGTTAGGTCTCTGCTTGATGCGTCCTCTCCTGAGGATGTCTTTGATGATGAAACGCATCGAGCAGAAGTGACGCCAAGCACAGGGGACACCCAAAAGCACTGTGCGTTTTACCTGATGGAGAGAGGCTGTTGTTTTTATTTGCTCAATGTCAGTATAATACTTTTAATAAACATGCTTGTGATTTACAATATTACACTATGGAAGTGTTTTTTGTTTTAATGTTTGTTCTGTGGTGGTGAACGGAGGAAGAAGGGGCTATAACTGGAGGAGAGAGGATGGGGAGCTGATGGTGCTTTTTTTTCACTTACCTGTGAAAACACACTGTGGAGTGAGAGCTTTGGTGGAAAATGGAGTAGTCTAGATGCTGTCATACTTTCCTGCATAAAGCGTTTCATGATCCACTTAGGATTAAGGTGTCATGAAGGTCTGATGGGCCTTGCTTAAGGGTATGGAGCATGAAGGTGGAAGAAGTTTGGGAAGTGCAAAAATTTTTTATATAAGTAACACTTAGGCTCCATTCACACTTTGCGATCTAGAATTGCGGGCAGAATTGTGGCAATTCTGCCGGTGATTCTAAATTGCGTGGCAATTGCTGCACAATGCGCGTCACGTGTTTGGGTGCCTTTATCCTTTAATGGCTCACCAATTGCGATGTGATACTACCGTGACTGTTGTGTGACAGGATTGCATGGCACCCGTGGCAAAACACACCTTTAAAAATCATTCAAAGCTTGTTGCCCAAAAAGGAGCAGTAGCATTTTTTGGGGTGACAAACATACATAGGGCAGGTCATTCAAGTGAATGGGCTAGCCCTATGCGATACACAGAATCGTTTGAGGATCATGCTTCAAAAACCACAAAGCAGGAAGGCTCATTAACACTACATTGTATGTGAACAGGGCCTAACTTTGTTTAATGACATTGTTTCACTATATTGATGCACTGATTTGTGGGCTGATGTTATATGTTGCTTAAAGTGTATGTAGCACTGGTTTATATATATATTTATGAAAATGAGTTGTGTCGCATTACCCCAGAAGTGTTGAGTACAGGGGCGGACTGACAACTCATGGGGGCCCCCAGGCAATCGCGGATCATGGGGCCCCTGTTTCCTTGCCCAAACGCAAAATAGCCTATGAAAAAGGTACCGGGGCATCTCATGGGTTCCCCTACTGACCCCGGGCCCTCGGGCAGTGCCAAGTTTCCAAATGGTCAGTCCGTCCCTGGTACAGGGGCAGACTGACAACTCATGGGGCCCCTGGGCAATAGGGGATCATGTAACCCCTGTGTCCTTGCCCACACTCAAAAAAGCCTATAAAAAAGGGACCAGGGGCATTTCATGGGGCTCCCTACTGACCCCAGGCCATCGGGCAGTGCCCGAGTGCTCGAATGGTCAGTCCGCCCCTGGTTGAGTAACCTATTCATGTACAATAATTCCAGTGTCTAATACAACGTTTGCTGCCATAAAAACCTCCAGAACTATATACAGTATATAGCAACAGCTTTACCTTCCAAAGCAGTTGTATTTCTGTCAGTCCAGTTTTCACATTTTCACAGCTCTACCACATAACACTGTCAGGAAAAAGAAGACCTGATTTTTCTCTCCAGCAGTTAAATAATACAGCTGGTGTTTAAAAAAAAATAATGCAGCTAGGTCTTGTCCCTGCCCCACTGGCTGCAATTGGACAGTAAAAAGGAAAGAAGAATCTCTATGTCACCCTGGTCTCTACTCCAGTCAGCATACTACTTGTTAGAATATGAGCGCTGTCTGCTTGCGTGTCTTCTCCCTCTCCCAGTCCAGGGAGATACAGAGGCAGATACCAGGCCAAATTCAGGTATACATTGTTTACATAAAAAGTATATAAATATATGTAGTGCAGGCCCTCTTGACTGGTCTGGCTGATATGTCCCAGGTTCTTTTCCCATCTGGGTCCCCAAGCAGCCAAGCACATGGCTCTTGTATGGTCTCTCTCACAATAACCAGACAGTGGTTGTCTTTTCAGGCTTTATTGCTGGTTAAACTTGGATGGGGTGCAGGGAAAGCTTTGGGATACTCCAGAATTTAGTGCACAAAAATTTGGAGGACTCTTTCCATTCTGTCTACTCTCTTCAAGGGGGGCAGCACCCATCTTTGGAGAGAATAGAGACAAAAGCACTTCTGGGACTCCCAGCAGCGCAAATCCCACTTTAGCAGCACTCAAACAGTCACGCAAGCGGTTAAACATTTAAACACTCACTAGGATCCCACTTCCAGGTCTCCACTCACTGTGTCTCCTGATACCTGGATACCACCTGTCCAGTACTGGCTAGACATTGTATCATGAATCTCCAGGCCAGATCTTCAGTGCACCCCTTTACGTGGCCCAGAACTGCTTTCTGGAAAATAGACCCCCCCAAAATCTCCTACGCTGGGACTTCCATGAACTCTCCACAATTGGCCCCCCAGCTCTAGCATAGTTAAGACCTCTGTGAATTCTCTGCAGAATTCAGGTGACATGCCCAGAAGGGCAGCAACCATTCCAGGCTGGGTTCACCTCCCTCAGGACTAGACCCTGCTGCTTCATGCCTCAAACTATTTATCTTCTGCTCAACCACCTACTGGGCACTCCCCTCCCAGGGATTAGCTAAGACTTAATAAATATTCAAGCCCAGGGTTTGCCTATTCTAACCCAATAGATTCTAGAACAGCAATGGGCAAACTACGGCCCGGCGGACCTTTTAATCCGGCCCGCGGAGCGTGATACTGTCAGGATGGCTGTCAGGATGTGTGTAGGTGGGGCAGCGTGACGAACGTGAGGGGAGCTAGGCTCCTCTCACAGTCCGCCCTGAAGACCGGAACGGCGGGGAACACAGCGAGAAGAACGCGCGGAGCAAAGGTAAGTAAATTGACACAGGGGGGACTTGGGGACTTAATATGGGGGATGAATTACTATAGGGGGGATGAATTACTATATGGGGGATGAATTACTATGGGGGATGAATTACTATGGGGGATGAATTACTATGGGGGATGAATTACTATGGGGGATGAATTACTATGGGGGATGAATTACTATATGGGGGATGAATTACTATGGGGGATGAATTACTATGGGGGATGAATTACTATGGGGGATTAATTACTATGGGGGATGAATTACTATGGGGGATGAATTACTATGGGGGATGAATTACTATATGGGGGATGAATTACTATGGGGGGATGAATTACTATGGGGGATGAATTACTATATGGGGGATGAATTACTATGGGGGATGAATTACTATGGGGGATGAATTACTATATGGGGGATGAATTACTATGGGGGATGAATTACTATGGGGGATGAATTACTATGGGGGATGAATTACTATATGGGGGATGATGAATTACTATGGGGGATGAATTACTATGGGGGATGAATTACTATATGGGGGATGAGTTACTATGGGGGATGAATTACTATGGGGGATGAATTATTATATGGGGGATTAATTACTATGCTTACTATGGGGGAATATTACTATACTTACTATGGATGACACATACACATCATTCATCTACTCTTGGTTCGGCCCCTGGGTCCAATATATGAACCCATTGCGGCCCTCAAGTCAA